TGGCCGGATGGTGAGAGTCTTGAAGAAACATAACTGGAAAACTGGCAATAAGAAAATTGGGATGAGGTACATGAACAAACCTCTCTGAATGGGAAAAAAAAATATTGAAGTATTTGTGTTCCATGTGAATGTTCACCAAAGGGTGACCTCAGCAGATGAAGATTTTAATAATTAAGTGGATAGGATGACTGGCTCTGTGGATACTAGTCAGCCTCTTTCCCCAGCCACCCTTGTCATTGCCCAATGGGCTCATGAACAAAGTCACCATGATGGTAGAGATGGCAACCATACACGGACCCAGCACCATGGACTTCTACTCACCAAGGCTGGCCTGGCTATGGCCACTGCTGAGGATCCAATCTGCTAGCTGTGATTTTTATTTTCCAAATGTCCCACCAAATATGTATTTCTTTAAACACACAAACATGTATATATATTTCCCTAACACAGACAAAACAATTAAAAGACAAATTTCCACAGCATTGCCATGTCCCATATTGCACAAAATATATGCCTTTGCTTATGAAAAGCTTCATAAAATATATGAACTTTTCAAAACCTAGTAGGAGCAAAGTTTACAAAACTATAGTCTTTAAAACAATATGGCACTGGCATAGGAATAGACAGACAAACCAAAGGGAAAAAAACAGGGAAGTAAAATTCAGCATTTATTTCCTGCTTACTCTGGCCCAGGCAATAGACAGGTGCTTTATACTATATATATATATTCCACTTACTACATATAACAATTCTATAAACTAGACCTTGATATGGTTATTTTATAGATAAAAGACTGAGACTTGGAAAGCGTAAACAATTTGCTCAAGGTTGTTCAGGGTTTCAGACAGATCTGAAATTCAAGCCCAGGTCTGACTCCAAAACCTATGCACCAGAGCCCAGAAACAGACCCTAATGTAATATTTAGCTACTGAAGATGAAACATAAAAAAAAAATCAACAGAGAAAAGAATAAATATTCAATTAATGGTATTGAAACAACTAGCTGTCATATCTCAATCTTCTAAACACAAAAACAATTAGAGACACCAAAGAGAAAAAGAAAGGCAAAATATTATAAAAAATATTCAAATTCCAGAAAAAAATGCAATTAAAATTAAAAAGTAAAATAACAATCAGAAAAACAAGTATAAAAATTGAATGAAAAGCTGATGTGTTCACACATAAAGAGATCATAAATTAAATATGAAAAAAGCAACAACCACAAAAAGGGGCAAAGGACATGAATCAAATAAAATTATATATGGGATGGGTTTGGTGGGTCACACCTGTAATCCCAGCCCTTTGGGAGGCTGAGGAGGGCGGATTGCTTGAGGTCAGGAGTTTGAGATCAGCCTGGCCAACATGGTGAAACCCCATCACTACTAAAAATATAAAAATTAGCCAAATGTGGTGGCAGGTGCCTATAATCCCAGCTACTTGGGAGGCTGAGGCAGGAGAATCACTTGAACCCAGGAGGTGGAGGTTGCAGTAAGCCCAGATTGCTCCACTGCACTCCAGGCTGATCAACAGAGCAAGACTCCATCACAAAAAAATAAAAATAGGCCAGGCACGGTGGCTCACGGCCTATAATCCCAGCACTTTGGGAGGCTGAGGGAGGCAGATGGCGGGGTCAAGACAACGAGACCATGGTGAAACCCCGTCTCTACTAAAAAGTAAAAAAAAATTGGCTGGGCGTGGTGGCGCGCACCTGTGGTCCCCAGCTACTTGGGAGGCTGAGGCAGGAGAATTGCTTGAACCCAGGAGGCAGAGGTTGCAGTGAGCCGAGATCGCGCCATTGCACTCCAGCCTGGTGCCTGGCAACAGAGCAAGACTCTGTCTCAAAAAAATAATAATTATTATTATAATAAAATGACATATGTATTATATTTCTATATTTTATAAGTTAAAATTAAAATTCCTATCTCACTAAAAATTTTTAAAATTAAAATTACAATAATGAGAAACTCCTTTCCATCCATGAAAATGGAATAGATTTTAAAGACATTAATATTCATTGTTGTTAAGTTTATGGCTAAAAACAAGAGGCACCTTCATGGTCTGTGAGGAGAATATAAACAAGTAATTCTAGAAAACAGTTTAGCAACAATACTCATTAGCCTAATAATTTTCATGTAAAGAAACTGTCAGAAACCCAAGTAATAATTAAAATTTAAAAATCCTCTAGAGGCTCAACAACAGTTACTGGTTAAGTGAAAGGTTCCACAAAGAGGACAGGGTGGGTTTGGTACCTGTGGAACAACTCAGCTGTTTCTTATGGCAAATCTGAAAAAAGTCCAGGTAGCAAGTCACTAGTGGTATAAATGGTTCCACTCTTAAAAATTACAAAATTGCCTTTGAAAGCCACGAGGCTAATATATTGCTATGTACATGGCTCAGGGTACAGCCACTAAAATGATTTCAGAGAACATAAAAGGTATGGAAAACACAGTATTAAATGTTTTAAAGGTATAAATTGCATATGCTATATATGATATATACACGCATATGCTGAAAAAGAAGTGTGAATTTTTTCTTGTTTGTACATTTTAGTATTTTCCAAATTCTGTATAGTGACCACACCGTATTTTTATGAACAGGAGAAAAATAAGGTTGAGTTTGGTGTTGCTGTTTTTCATATACAGGGCCACAGTATCAGCAAAAGCCTAAGGGATTGCTAAGGTAGCATCACCTGAAAAAACTATCTTCTACACTTTCTCAAACAGGAGACAGGAAATATACTCATCATACACATAAAACTAGTAACCTCTGAAATTTCAACTTGCTGTTTCTTTCCACTGGATTACAGCACCACAAACATAATAGCAATGAAAGAACATATATTATTAGTCTAAAGAGCCATATCCTTCCACAGCAACTCCAGTAAGCACATGTTACACATAACAGGTGACATCTTGGCAACACCTGTAGTCTCAGCACTTTGGGAGGCCAAGGTGGGAGGATCACTTGAGCCCAGGAGTTTCAAACCAGCCTGGGCAACATGGCAAAACCCTGTCTCTACAAAAAATACCAAAAATTAGCTTGGCATAGTGTCACACACCTATAGTCCTAGCTACCTGGGAGGCTGGGGTGGGAGGATGACCTGGGCCCAGGAGGTGGAGCCTGCAGTGAGCCATCATTTCACTATACTCTCGGATTGGGTAATAGAGTAAGACCCAGTCTAAAAAAAAAAAGTGATGTTTTCTAAATGCAAAATGCCAGCTATAAAAACTACAGCATACACTGTAACAATACTAAACAGGCAACTTATTCCATTTTTTTTCCTTGGATTTGAAATCTCAACACCTCTTTATGTTAACTCAGAAACAAATTCACTAACCTATAATACAAATTTAATGTAAACAAACTTTTCCTTAAAGCTTGTTTTCATTAAATTTGTATTTAATGAAATACAAATACAATCAAATAAACATGTATCTCTGATACTTCTTTTTTAGGTCAAATGGCAACTTAGCTTAAATAATGTCAAAGGAGGACATTTTACCATTAACTCATAAGGTTCTTACTAAAAACAAAATTATCAAGAAACTTTTACCTTAAAATGAGAAATTAAAATAACCATGAATACTGATAACACCAATAACTAATAACATTAAGAAAACAATAATTAATAACATAGTTACTGCTAACACAAATCAACGCTAATAAAATGAGGGGGAGGGCATGATGAGCAAGAAAGACATCCACATTTCTAAAAGCTATAATTCTAACACATAATTACAAAATCTTAAAGGATAAATGCTTGAGGTGATGGACCCTGTTTACCCTGATGTGATTATTTTGCATTACATGGCTGTATCAAAATATCTCATTAGCCCATAAATACATATACCAACTATGTACTCACAAAAATTAAAATTAAAGCATTAAAAAATAAAAATATTCTGTGAAAGCAGCATATGAAAAGAAACATAAAAAAAGAAAAATTAAAAAAATTAGGACTCCTCAAAAAGAATTACACCAGCATGTTCTATGAGAGACAAGAGTTCAGTTTACATACACTGAATTGATGTGTAAAAACAGTAAGATTCTTCAGAAAGAAGAGAGAAAGAAAACACCCCACAGCCTAAATAGCTATCACAATAGCTACCACCTATTAAGTGCCTACTAAAAGACAGTTACTTTACATACATCATTCCTACTCCAAAAACAAGCCAACAAGCTGGGTTTTATTTATCCTCCCAATTAAGACAACAGGAATCTACGGTGAGAGGACAGTGGCTTGCCCAAAGGCTTCAAAGCAATACATCATTGGTACCTCTTTGTACTTGACATAGAGTGTTTTTCCCCTTCTAGCATATATTTTGAAAAGACTAAAGAAACTACTAGCCAATAAATAAAATGGCAAGTACAGCTGCTGTTTTTCAGGTTTTTTTTTTGAGATGGAGTTTCACTCTTCTTTCCCAAGCTGGAGTGCAATGGTGTAATCCTGGCTCATTGCAACCTCCACCTCCCAGGTTCAAGTGATTCTCCTGCCTCAGCCTCCCAGGTAGCTAGGATTACAGGTGCCTGCCACCATGCCCAGCTAATTTCTGTATGTTAAGTAGAGATAGGGTTTCACCATGTTGGTCAGGCTGGTCTCGAACTCCTGACCTCAGGTGATATGCCCACCTTGGCCTCCCAAAGTGCTGTGATTACAGGTGTGAGCCACCATGCCCAGCCAGTTTCTTAGTTCTTAAATGGAAGCTGAGTTCTGACAAGCTCATATAAACCAAAATTCTCTTGCAAAATACCGAAATGAAAATGTATTTATCAAAATCATAGTAAGTATAAAAACTGCTTCTTGACTAAGAGAAAAGTCTTTCACAACTAATTAAAAATAGAAATGATAAATAGAATCTGGTTTTCTGACATTACTAAAGACCCAAAGAGTTTACTGGAGGAAGTCACAAATTATGAAGAAAACTAAGGAAAGAAAACCCTAAAAATACGGTGCAGTACAAAATTAAAATATTGTGATTACATTAGGCAACATATACTAACCATGAATCAGGGAGCCATTTAGCCACTGAATATAGTAGCTCTGAGGAAACGAAAGCAGGATTTCATTGCTGATAATTGAGAAGGGTAAAAGCAAAACAGCCCCAGCTGACACTGCAAGAGTGAACGTGCTCAGAAACAACCTGGAAGAAAGGAGAGTCATCATCACAGGTGATCTGAAAAAGCAACGAGCATGAAAGTAATCAAAAAGAATTAATGTTTCCCTCAAAAAAGTATTACATTAAGAATTGTATTAAATATATGTAGTCGGGAGACAAACGATATACATATGGTCCCAGAAGGTAAACTAGATGAACACTGAAACGCCTCACTCTATGCAAATGTCAATAAGTCTAACAAGTAGTACCTAAAAGACAAACATATACCGAAGAGAGAGTACTTCACGTATTTTACAAAAAATAAATTGTAGTTCATTCCTTTTAAATATTTCTTTCACAACTGCATTTAATTAAAAACTTTCACAATATATGCTAACAGCAGTGCAACAACTGTTTAATTTAAAATATTTATTTCAGAGGAAAAGAACTTACAAAGCCATTGGCCTGACATCTATTTAATGGGTAAAGATTAAATAAATTACAGTAAATAGAAACTATTAAACAATATTATACTATTAATATTTAAAACATTACTTAGTCATTAAAAAAAATAAGATCGCTTTAATAGGTACTAACATGGAAGAATATAAAAGTCAACCAAAAAATAAACGAAAAGCATGGACAATAAATGTAAAACATGCTCTGCCCCCACAAAATGCATAGAGTGAAAGAAAAGTACAAAAAAATCCAGCATAATATGTAACAATCCCATAGGAAAGAGGGGTTATAAGGGGCTTTCACTTTCTCAGTTACACATTTCTGAAACATTTTTATTTTTTACAACATTTAACTTTTTAAAAGATTTTAAAAGAATAAATTGGCAAAGGAAAAAGGAACTTCACTAATATTGGAGATAGAATATTAAAGTTCTATTAAAGTTAATATTGGAAGAAATTAAAAATAAATATAAGAAAGTATTTTAAAACGTTAAGAAAAAAATCATACTACGCACACAAAAACACAGAGTAACTTTGAGGCCAATGCCATCTTGTGGCAACCAACAGAAGTGTATTCCTACTTAAAAGCCCAAAATACTACCAGGAAACCTCCTCGGCTCAGTAAATCAATGATCAATTTTAAAATGCAGACCATATGATACATACCAAAAATACAACTGAAATCAGATACAGAATGTTTGTGAATTCGTTTTTCTGAATAGACACTGCATTTCCTGGGAGAAGCCCTGTGACAAGTGCCATCCCAGGGTCCGCGGCCAGCTCTGGCAGCGACCAGCCAGCAAGTGATCTCTTGCAAGCTTCTCCAGTCACGGGAGGAAGCTATCCTGATTGCTATCATTCCTTCCAATGCTAAAAGTAACATCAAATCCAAAATCTCACCATTCCAGGTCCTGCACAGCTATCCCAGTATAATTTTCCAGGCTTGTCTCTTACCATGACCCATTTCAACCTACACTTAGACTCACCTAACCCCCTCATAGCCCAAACATGAAATGGATTCTCAGGATTCCTTCCTGCCCTCTGCACAGTCTACTCACTCCCTAGACTACCCTTTAAGTTGCCTGGGAAACTCACACATGAGCTTAAAGACAGACCTCAAACATCACTTGCCCTGTGAAGCATTTCTCAACTTCTCCCTTCTTGCTCCCCTAGGCAAAATGACTTCCTCTCTTCTCTTGGCTCCCACATATGCTGACCACATACCTAGAAATTAAGGTCAAATAAAGTTTCCAAAGCAAAATCTGGTACTTATGATTTGACAAAACGAGTAAGCTTATGGGGCAAATAAAGTATTTAAAGTCACAAATGCCCCAGAAAAATTCTGAATATGTGGTCATCATAACTACAATGCTTGCTCTTTCAACAACAAAAAAACTAGTAGAACCTATTACACTTTGGGTATTGTGACTGGTCTTGGAGATACACAGAAGATAATAGCATCACCGGTGACTGCCCTTGAGTAGCTCTTAGGACAGCTACTCCTAAGAGGGTGATGTGACGGAGCTCCATCCTGGCAGGGAGTGTGATAGGCCCTGAACTAGAAAACTGCAGCCGGGGGCGGTTGGCTCACGCCTGTAATCCCAGCACTTTGGGAGGCCGAGGCAGGTAGATCACGAGGTCAAGAGATCGAGACCATCCTGGTCAACATGGTGAAACCCCGTGTCTACTAAAAATACCAAAATTAGCTGGGCATGGTGGTGCATGCCTGTAATCCCAGCTACTCAGGAGGCTGAGGCAGGAGAATTGCCTGAACCCAGGAGGCGGAGGTTGCGGTGAGCCGAGATCGCGCCATTGCACTCCAGCCTGGGTAACAAGAGCGAAACTCCATCTCAAAAAAAAAAAAGGAAACTGCAGCAGTGCCCCTGTTCTTGTAACTACAGAAAGTGCCCTTCAAGAATTAAAGGATAGTTTCAGAAACGTCACCTTCTAAAATAGAGCATTATTTTTAAAAATTACATCTTCAGAGTAATGCATCTTTTCTAATTCTGGTAGTAATAAGACAAGTGCTTTCCCAAATATCTGACACTTGTGACTGTCTTCTTAATCCAACCAGGAAAGCAGAACCTCTCCTTGTCTAAATAAGGTGATGACAGCACATACTCAGATGCTGAATATAACTAGTGTGGAAAAAATAAGCCGTATCTATAGATCACATTGTAAAGTGTGTTTGCAAGGTGATGGTGAATTAATAAACTACCTTAAATCACTTTAACCCTCCACAAAGCTTTAAAATGCTTACAGTTAGCACACAAGGACCAGGGTCCTTGAATTATGAGTCTCTAATCTCCTGTCTGTAACCCCCCCCGCATCAGTGATGTGGCTTGGATATTTGTCCCCGCCGAATCTCATGTTGAATGTGATCCCCAATGTTGGAGGCGGGGGACTGCCTCATGGGAGGTGTTGGATCATAGGAGCAGATCCTTCCTGAATGGCTTGGCGCCTTTACTACAGTAATGAGCGAGTTCTCATTCTGTTAGTTCACAAGGGAGCTGGTTGTTTAAAGGAACCTGGCACCTCTTCTCTCTTTCTCTTGATCCCCCTTCACCTTCCACCATGAGTAAAAGCTTCCCAAGGCCTCACCAGAAACCAAGCAGATGGTAGTGTCATGCTTGTACAGCCTGTAGAAGTGTGAGCCAAATAAATCTCTTTTCTTTATAAACTACCCAGTTTCAAGTGTTCCTTTATAGCAACACAAAACAGACTAACACAATCAGGCTCTTCCTGAGCTTTCTACCATGGCCCTGCAAATGGCTGAACCTCATTTCATTCCCAGCTAATGACTGAACCTCATTTCATTCTCAGCAAATGACTGAATCCAGAGTGGGAAAAAGGGGTACAATCCCTCCATACTTACCACCTGACAGAGCTGTCAACAGACAATTGTTATCCTATGTGTCAAAGGAGGAAGTCTTTCTCCTGTTTATCTGTGCCAATCTGTACCTCGGACATCTCCAGGGGCCCTGCTTCACCAGTCATCCTCCCTCTAGCTGCTGATCAGCCAAAAATAAATATCCTCAGGTGCTCTGCTCTTTCAAAACGCTTCTTAAGCAGAACTCACATATCACACCTTTACTTCTTTATCCTCAACTTCTTCATTAGTCCACTGCAGGAGGACTTCTGCTCCTCACCTAGTACTAAAAAGGTTCTCCTTATCGTCAAATCCATCACATACTTTTTCACTGCAATCTGAGTATGACCTTCTGTGACATTTCAAGTTGATAAGCACTGCTTCCTTCTTGAAACTCTTTCCCCAACTTCTACAACATTCCCTTCTTCCTAATTTTTCGGCCCCACACTCACTGTGACACTCAAGCCGCTTAAACAAAGAATAAATGCTTTTGTATTTATTCGTAGTTATCAACAAAATGAAAGACCTCACATTTTTAAAACTCCACTGCAAAATACAGGTTGTCATAAAAATGTATTTCATGGGTTAATATCTCAATATATATTTTTAATTAAAAAACAAATCATAAGCAAAACCTGCCGCTTTACATCTTCAACTTTAACAGGTTGATAATATCTGATCAAGCAGTATGTGCGGAAACAAGGTTTTATCATAGTTGCATTTAAGGCATTCAAAATTATTCAGTAGGATGTCTACAGTGTTGATGACAAAGAGAATTTCGTGTTCAGCATCTGGCTCTCACCCTCCCAAATACCATCAAAAGGTCTGATTCTCGGGGCAACAGGAAAGTAGCAGTTGAGTGACATTTTGCATTCATCTGTGCCATGCCGGCGTAGCAGCCTTCAGTCTCAAGTCTCCATCTCAGCTGAGCAGTAAACACCTGCTGCATGAATCAGGCTTCCTGGCACATCGCTCGAAACCAGTGGTTCTTGAGCAGCAGCACCGTTAGGGTCACCCGTGCAGCTTTTGCTAGAGCCCGTCTCAGAGACTCTACCTCCGTGGGTCTTTCAGGCAGGCTCCCTCACTAGACAAGTGTTTGCAGAGTGCCTACTCCCCTGTACCAGGACTGTGCTAGGCACAAGCCAACATTTTTGCTCGAGGAGGGCTTATCCTAGACTGGAGGGTCAGGCAATAAACAATAAAACATTAAATATGTAAATATATAATATACTAAGAATGATAAGTGCTACAGAAAAACACCGTAAGGAGGACTGGAAATGGGAGGAGGACACACGGGTTTCAATATTAAGTGGGCGATATTAGGGAATATTAATATTCAATATTAAGTGTGGGACAGTAAATGTGGGATATTTCAGTGAGGCCTTAGGGAAGGCCTCACTGAAAAGCTGAGACTTGGGGAAATAAAGCAAAACAAAATGGAAGAAGGTGAGAGAGTTAATTCAGTGGACTATCTGAAAAAAAGAATTCTAAGCAGACAAAACAGGTCAAAAATCCTAAGGTGGAGGAAACATTAGTTTCACACCTACTGTGCATCAAGAACCCTACCCTAGATGTTTTTTTTTAGCAAATGCTATTTAATCCATACCACGGTACTACAAAGCAGGTGGGAACTCTGTTTTACATACAGAGAACGTGAACATTCCTCAGTATCTTCTGGACTCAAGTGAATCCTGGATCCAGAATTTGAACCCAGATCCCTCTAACTCATTAGTTCTCACCCATTCTACCACAGCAAAAGACAAAAAGATCAACAGAGACAGGGAAGAAAGATGGGAGAGACTAGGTCAGACTCCTTCTCTCAGGTGACCCTCTTCCCCCTGCAGCTCTCCTGTTTTATCAGCACTTTATATAAACCCACTGCCCCTCAGGAAGAGGATTTCTGTACACATTCCCAGAATACAGAAACCACCTGTGACTGGTAAAACCCAAACCCCTCGCACGTACTGTGCCAGCTGCCCCGAAAGCAGGTAAAGATGCTCCTGGGCATCTACCATAAGGACAGAGCACCTCACCCTAATGTCACTCAATGTACTTTTAGGGGTAAAAGACATAGTGATGTGTTCCTTTCCATTTATAAAGTATGGATCTGTAAGTACATTTAAGTCGATTTACCAGCACAGGTGGCACCCAGACTGAATGGAGAGGAGAAAGGTACACACCTCACTTGCCCTTCACACACAGAGGTTTCACATGGAGAGGATATCTACCTTTATTCAGTCTGTCAGTCATTGTAGCTTCTGCAAGGTGGCAGAAGTGAAGTTTTAAAAAAGCAGTAATTGACACAGAGAAAAAAATGATTCACTTAATTTTCACAAATGTCACAGGGCTAGGAATAAAACGAAAACCCCTAATTCTGTAAATGTGAAACATCAAGTTTTGGGCCTAGGTTTTAAAGCTAGAGAGTAAGAACTTCCATCATAAAGTTACAGCTATTTTTATTTCTTATCTAGCTTCCCTATGTCATTTAAAATAAATTACCAAATCTAGGAAATCACAGTCCATTTGTATTCATTTTTCAGTTACGAATCAAATCAGGCCTAGTCATTTATTAGCTGGGAGTTATTAATTTTTTATTGAGGTGAAATTCACATTACATAAAATTTACCATTTTCAGGTGAACAATTCAGGGGTGTTTAGTTCATTCACAATGTGGTACAACCACCTGTTTCTTTCATGTTCATCACCCCAAAAGAAAATGTCACACCCATGATCCCCATTCTCCTCTCCTTCAGCCCCTTGCAATCATCAGTCTGCTTTTGATTTATCTACCCTGGATATTGCTTACAGATGGAATCCTACACTATCTGGCCTTTTGTGTCTGGCTCCATTCACTTAGGATGGTCCATCCACATTACAGCACATCAGTACTTCGTTTATTTTTATGGCAGAACACTATTCCATTGTATGTAGAAGCAGTTATCTGCACATGTATACAAGTATGTGAAAGAACATAGAATCTTTCTCTTCCTCTCCCCTTTTCTTACTTCCCGCATCTTCCTCAGCAAAGGATGCATAATCTGATACTAATTATGAAGAAAGATCAGACAAAACCAAATAACTATCCAATAATCTTCAAAAGTGTCAAGGTCAGGAAAGTCCAAGAAATACTGAAGAAGTGTTTCAGTCGGAAGGAGACTAAAGGACATGACCCCCAAATGCATTGTGTGATTCTGGACTGGAACCTTTCACTACAGCAAGGACATTATTGGGGTAAGCAGTAAGTTTGAATGGGGTATAAGTGGAACTGTTGTCTATGCTAATTTCACTATTTTGATGGTTGCATGGTAGATACCTAGGAGAATGTGCCATTTATAGGAATTATACATGAAAATATCCTGAAGAAATGAAGCATCAGATGAGCAACTTCTAAACAGCTTAAGTGAAAAAAACTTTGTTTTCTACTTCCACCTTTTCTATAAATTTGAGATTTCAAAAGAATTTTAATGTATCAATTAAAAAATCCTGGAATACAGAACTTTCCTACATAGGTGCATCTGTGCAATTTCACATTTAAACAAGCAAAAACTAACAGAAAGGAATTCACTGCTTTCCATTAAGTATGATACTTCAACAAAATTACAGGACCTCCCTATCATATCTCACCGGTGTACATAAGGAATCTGAAGAACAGTCTGGGCCCACCTTCCTGCTCACAGCAGGCAGGTTTAGTTAACCAGAGGATATGTTGGCTGCCTGGTTCGAGGGCATCATGGTCTTCTCAGCAGACTGTTCAAACAGCAAAGAGTCTTCTTTCTTATGACCAGGCAATTTTCTCAAACTGAAGGCCATTTCCTCATTTAATCCCTTGAAGATAAAATCTGTCAGCTCCTTAAATATGCAAATTTCAATAGGAGATAATCGGTGCTCAATTATCCATACATATTTGCGTACATATGCTTCCCAAGAATAGGATTAATATGTTAAAGCTTTTGTAATATGAAATTAGGTATATGGAAGAAGAAAAGGATGATACAAGCTGTTGTAATGTGCTGCATATTTTCCATATTTCTGTTCAAAAATTAGAATTGGATTTTCACAATTTATGATTTAAGAATCAGAAACAGAACAAAACAACTTTAAAATACATACGAAATCCTGTTGACAATGGCATCTTCATCTTCTTGTTCATCTGCAAAAATGATTTAGGTATTAATATTCCTTTATCTTCAAATAAAATGTTTCATTAATTTATTAAAAACTATAAATATAAACTTAAAAAGGCAATTATTGAACAGAAACCATTTTCAAAAAGCACCATATTTGTTTCAGCATAGATCCAAATTTAAATCTCATTAAATCAAGTAGCATGGCATATAGAGAATGGGATGTTTTGATGAACAAAATCCTGATTAATAAAACTACTACATGCAAATTAAAATTGTTCAGGAAAATAAAACTTAGTAGAACCTTAGTACCACTACGAAGTAAACTGTTACACAATGTTAATAAAACCGCTAATAAATAAATGTTCTGGTTGATAATAGCCAACAAAATCACCATGAAATTAAAATTCAGAAACACAGAATTCATCTAACTTTAATTTGAGTTTGTCACTACTAATAGTAGCAAGGAGTCTCTTGAACCGTCCTAAATAACCTTGGATACTACTGCATCAGTAACTCATAATTATTGTTGAAGTTACAAACAGGAATTGGCAGGGCACAGTGGCTCACACCTGTAATCTCAACACTTTAGGAAGCTACGAGGACAGATCTCTTGAGCCCAGGAATTCAAGACCACCTTGGACAACATAGGGACACTCCATTTTTACAAAAAAATCTTAAAAATTAGATTTTTAGCCTGGACATTTAGCCTGGACATGCCTGTAGTCCAGGCTACTCAGGAGGCTGAGGTTGGAGGATCACTTGAGCCTATAAGGTTAAAGCTACAGTGAGCCATGACTGCCCCATTGCTCTCCAGCCTAGGGGACAGAATGAGATCTTATCTCAAGAAATATTAAATATATATACATATATATATAAAATTCTACACCACTTATAGTATCTTAACTATATGTAATTATATATTGCATATATAATTCATTTTATATACTATATAATATATATTTTATATACTATATAAAATGAATTATATATGCTTACATATAATTTTAAATATATAATTATATATTGTATGTATAATTTTATATTATATATTAAATTATATATAATATAAATTATATGATATATATTAAATTATATATAATATAAATTATATAATACATATTATGTCATATATAGTTTTATATATAATATACAAAAATACATATAATATATAAAATTATATAACTATATATAAGTATATTGAATATCTGAAAATATATTTAAAATTTTATATATATATATAAAGTTTGCTTCCTCTTTTTTAAGTAGCAGATGTCTTCACTCTGATACTCTCCTTCTTGCTCATGCCTGTCAGCAATCTCTTTTGTCCTCCCATATAAACTTACGAGCTAAAGAGACTGTCCAGTTATAAGAATACCACAAACCCTCCTGGCCCGTTCTTCTCATATGCCTAATGTCCTCCAAGGCTCTCTGCTCAGGTCTCTGGAATTCTGTGCTCCCACCTGCTTCAGTATCAAGAACATATTTGGGCCATTCTATTAGTCCATCTCCATTCTTAATTCCAAAATGCCCAAAAGAACTTTTACAACCAAATGTTCCACAAAAGAGCATAGTTACAATTACTTTTTATACACTGTTGTGCTCACATCCAATTAATCATCAAGTCTTGGCCAGGCACAGTGGCTCATGCCTATAATCCCAGCACTTTGGGAGGCTGAGGCAGGCAGATCACCTGAGATCAGGAGTTCCAGACCAGCCTGGCTAACATGGTGAAACCTCATTTCTACCAAAAATACAAAAATTAGCTGGGCATGGTAGAGCATGCCTGTAATCCCAACTGCTAGGGAGGCTGAGGCAGGACAATCACTTGCACCAGGGAGGCAGAGATCGCAGTGAGCCAAGATCATGCCACTGTACTCCAGCCTGGGCAACAGAGTGAGACTATCTCAAAAAAAAAAAATCAAGTCTTTTTTTTTTAAACCAAGTTTTTTGCATGGGGAAAATCAAGTCTTAAAGAATATTTTACTATGTCCATATTCATTTCACTTCTATTCCCAACCCCAGCACTCTACCAGCTGGGTGCAGAGTCCCCAGCACTCTCCCAGCACTCCTCCACTACTCTAAAAATCATCTCATACATCTCCAGTTTCCCACTCACCAACCTCTAATTTCATGTAGAATGACCCATTTACATTCATTCATTCTCTCTCTTTCTCTCCCCTTTTGTGTCTATAGTCCATGAAACCATGCCAATGAATTTTTTTTAAATAGCTAAGATACTATTTTGAATCTGTATCTTCAAAATTTTTAGAGGTTATAGAATCCACTGGGTACTTCAGTGCGTCACAGAGCCAAGTAACGGTACTAAAGTAATACACTAGAGTAAACACTATAACCTTATTTCTCTCAAAAGTCCTACAGTTTAAGCTGATAACATAGTATCAAGAAATCATTAATGATTCACATAGCACCTACTATTAGCCCAACATCACAAGTACATAGCCCTGTGATTTTCAGAAAACAGCTGAGATTTAACAAAGACAGCAAGGCAATTGCTTAAGTACTTATAAAACCCGGACCTAAAAAGTCTGAATCAATGAGCACAAAGTTCATCAATAAAGAATAAAGATATGGTAGTCCCTCTGGCTGGATAAGGATGTATATGAAAGAATAAAAGGAGAATACGAGATGCTAATAATTGGATACTAAATAGTATTATGGAGACTTAAATATCTACTATATGCTCTAGTAGCCAGAAGGGGTACGGAATGTGGATGAGTAAAACGTTCAAAGTCAGAGCTGCCCACAAGGAACCAAATATGCTCATAAACTTGAGAGTTTCCCAGATACTCAACAGTCTAGCACTATTCTTAGCTGGACATAAGAATTGTGATTAAACAAGGACTCTGGACTAAGAGTGGTCAAATTCCCTGGAGGTTATTTTTAGTTCTCTTAGTAGCAGACAAATGCTTACTTCAATTACCAGCAAATTCAATACACTACGACACTGAGGTGTACTAATATACCCCATAAACCATGCCTAGACCACTTGGCATTCTAATAAAGGTTTTAATTGAAATGTTTCCACTTGCCTGATTTTCTCTTGTATCTTGTGATGATGAAGTAGGAAACAACGTAGAGAATGGCAAAAAGAAGGAAACATATCTGAAACAAAACAAAGTTAACCGATCATTTACTCTTTTGCATATCTTTGATCTATCTGTGACATTTACAGGAAAAAAGGATTTAAACTATTAAGAAGTTAAAATGTTGGACATTTTACTAAAGTTTTAACAAAATACAGGCAGGTGCAGTGGCTCACGTCTGTAACCCCAGCACTTTGGGAAGCCAAGGTGGGAGGATCACCTGGGGTCAGGAGATTGGACCAGCCTGGCCAACATGGTGAAACCCTGTCTCTATTAAAAAATACAAAAAAAAAATTCAGCTGGACACGGTGGCATTCACCTGCAATCCCAACTACTCCAGACTCCGAGGCAGGAGAATCACTTGAACCCAGGAGATAGAGGTTGCAGTGAACCGAGATCACACCATTGCACTTCAGCCTGGGAAACAAGAGCAAGACTCCATTTGAAAAAAAAAAAAAAGTTTTAACAAAATATTCATTTATATGAACTGGTCAATTAACCCCATTTAATATCATTTAAAAAAAAAAAAAAGGCCCAATGGAGACTTTTCTTTCCGTAACTTGATCAAATGTTTTTCAAAATCATGTGGAAGTGTGAAGAACTAGACTATCATCACTGACAACTCTGAAAAATAAAGTCAATTAGAAACTACTAGGCCTATACAATATTAAAACATTATCAAAAGCTTCAATTCATTTAAAGAATGTGCTGGCACCAAAAGTTGACAGATTAAACAGATTCCATTTCATAAAATTTAACATACAAAAGGAATCACAAATCAATGTGCGTAGAAAATAATTATTCAATAAATATACTCCATATCAAACCAAAAGGCAGTTGAAGAAGAGACTTCATTATTAAATTCTGTATTTTTAATTTTGCTTTATTGATTGGTTGATTGATTGATTGGAGACAAGATCTCACTCTGTTGCCCAGGCTGAAGTACAGCGGCACAATCTTGGCTCACTGCCTCCCGGACTCAAGCAATTCTCTCACCTCAGTCCACCAAGTAGCTGACTACAGGTGTGCAACACCAAGCCTGGCTAATTTTTGTACTTTTTGGTAAAGACGGGGTTTTACCGTGTTGGCCAGGCTGGTCTTGAATTTCTGACCTCAAGCGATATGCCCGCCTCAGCCTCCCAAAGTGCTGAGATTACAGGTGTGGGCCACTGCAACCGGCCTAATTTACTAACAAATAAAAGTTATACATATTCACTGTGTGCAAACACCATGTTTTAAAATAAGATACATTGTGGAATGGCTCAAACTAATCAGCGTACTCATCACGGCAAATATTTATAACTTTTTATGATGAGAATACTTCTACTTCTTAGTGATTTTTAAAATATAATACATTGTTACTTATCATAGTCTTCGTGTTATACACTCGATTTCAAATTTATTCCTCCTACATAACTGAAATTTTGTACCCTTTGACCAACATCTCCCAGAGCCCCCACCCCTAGTCTCTGGCATCCATCATTCTACTCACTATTTCTAAAGTTCAACATATTTAGATTTCGTATAGAAGTGAGATCATGCAGTATTTGTCTTTCTGTGTCTGGCTTATTTTACTTAACGTACAGTTTTTCAGGTTCACCCATGTTGTTGCAAATAACAAGATTCCTTTTTGCAGCTGAATAGTACTCCCTTGTATGTGTACACTGTATTTTCTTGACCCATTCATCTGCAGGCAGACGCTTAGGTTGATTCAACAACTTCACTATTGTGAGTAGTGCTGTCATGAACATGTGAGAGGGCAGGTATCTCCTCAATATACTCATTTCATTTCCTTTGGACACATACCCATTAGAAGTAATACTGGGTTGTATGGTAGCTCTATTTTTGATTTTCTGAGGAACTTTCACACTGTTTTCCCTAATGGCTGTACTAATTTACATTCCCATGAACAATGTACAAGGCTCCCTTATCACTGCATCTTCGTCAACCCTTGTTATCTTTTGTGTTTTGAGTATAGCCACTCTAACAGATGTGAGGTAATAGTTCATGGTGGTTCTGATTTGCATGTCCCTGATGATTCATAATGTTGAACGTATTTTCATATACCTATTGTTCATCTTTATGTCTTCTTTTGAGAAATATCTATTCCAGTGCGTTGCCCATTTTTTTTCTTTTTTCTTTTTTTTTTTTTTTTTTTTTGAGACAGGGTTTCACTCTTGTTGCTTAGGCTGGAGTACAATGGTGTGATCTTGGCTCACTGCAACCTCCACCTCCCAGGGTTCAAGTGATTCTCCTGCCTCAGCCTCCCAAGTGGCTGGGATTACAGGCCCACATTACCATGCCCAACTGATTGTATTTTTAGTAGAGACGGGGTTTCATCATATTGGTCAGGCTGGTCTTGAACTGCTGACCACAGGTGATCCACCCACCTTGGCCTCCGAAAGTGCAGGGATTACAGATGTGAGTCACTGTGCCTAGCCGCCCATTTTTTAATCAGTTTAGTTCCTTAATTTCAATTTAATTTCTGTCAGATCTGAGGAATGACAGACTGACCAAAAAGGATGGGTCAAGGAACAGGAGATCTCATCACAGTCAAGGACCAAGGTTTGCCACAGCTTGTTGTGGAATGTGGGGAAATGACTCAAATGAAACCACTCTAAGTGATGATAAAATCTAGGGAATATCCCATGCGTGGATTTCTGAAGAAGTACTGGTGGCCATATGACTGAGAACAACTTTGGACCAGGATAGCGGACATTCCCTGCACATCATCATGTAGGAATGACAAACTGAGAATGAAGAGGAGGACTACAAGCTGTCTGTCAAAGCTCTGTCAGTACACAAGGGAGAAGAACAGAAGACAATACTGACAGCAACCCAAAGGAGCAAAGGGCATCAAAGATCACCTGCCACTGGAAGCCATGGACCTGTTAGGAACACTGGCTAGACAAGAAAAGGTTAACAGCATCACTACCTTCTCCCAAAATGATCTGGAGTGTAGGAGATGGTCCAAAGATGAAAACCAGTTCTTGGTGAATAAATGTCAATGAAGGGGGTCTTCTAAGAAGCTGAGAATAATGGGGAAACGGATACAATGGAAGGGAAGTCTGCGTAAAGCACAGAGCAAAGAAAAGAAGAGTGACTGGTCAGAACCAGTGAACTATGAGGTCAAGGTCAGAGAGAAGAGAGGACCGAGGGAGTTAATATTTAGGACATGATTTAAATTCATTCTGTGCACAATTACCTACTGCAGGCTTGCTATATACCAGGCACTCTTCTAGGAACTGGGACACGCAATGAACAAGGTCGCTGCCCTCATGGAGCTTAGAGCACACTGCGAGGAAAAGACAATAAATACATATAAAGTATGTCAGAGGATGATTAGTGCAAGGTTAGAGGAACAGAAAGTGCCAGCCAGGGGGAGGCGGGGGGGACATGTCTCACTAATAAGGTGACATCTGAGGAAAGAGCTGTGGGACAAGCGGGGCCAAGATGCAAAAACGTAGAGGAAGAGGGGAATATTTGAGGCAGAGAGAACAGCAGTGCCAAGGGTCAGAGGTAATAATGGCTCAAACAATGAGGGGGCAGAAGTAAGAGACAAGGTCAGAGAATAATTGAGGTCATGCAGGACTCAGGTACTAAGTGTCGGTTTTTACCCTGAGTAAGCTAGAATTCCATTGCAGGATTCTGAGTAGAGGGTGACAGGACCTGACACAGTGCAAAAGACTCACTATAAGTGCTACGCACAAAATAAACTGGAAGCGGACCAGCACAGAGGCAAGGAGAGCAGACAACGAACTGCAGGAAGCCAGAGAGCAGCCACTTGGACCTGTGCTAGGAGGTGCTCAGACAAGATGAGTCCTGGGTATGTTTTGAAACTGGACATGGTAAGATTTGCTAGAATAAATATAAGGTTCTTTGCCTGAGAAACTGGAAACACAACGTTGCCATTTCAGGACTCAGGAACGGTTACAAGAGGAGCTGTTTTGAGGGAGAAGTAAGTATCGCTTACACTGTTGAATCTGACATACACATAATTCACTCAGGACAACAGGATGGTTGGGCAGTTGGATGAAAATATGTACCATTCAGAAGAAAGAGCCAGGCCATAAATTTTTTAAAACCTTAGAATCATCAGCACATGATATTTAAAGTCCTGAAGCTAGATGAGATTTCCATCCCAGGGAATAAGTATAGCCAGAGAAGTCAAGTTTGAGAATAGAGACCTAGAGCTCTGAAATATTTAGAAATCAGCTTGACAGAAGGACTCACAGAAGCTGACTGGGAAGCAGCAGTCAACAAGGGAGGAGGCAAATCAAGACACTAGATGCCTTGAGAGCCACATGAAGAAAGTTTATTAGGAAAAAGGGATTATCAACAGTGTCAAATGCTGCTGACAAACCAAGGACCATGAAGACTGAGAACTGACAACTGGACTGAGCACCGTGGAGGTCACTGGTGACCTTGACAAGAGCTGTTCTGATGGAGTGGTGGAGGTACAATCCTGACTGAAGTCGATTAAGAAAGGAGAACACCTGGCAGCAGAAATGCAGGTACACAGAACTTCCCACGAGTCTGATTATAAAGGGAGCAAAGAAAATGTGAAGGGGAATGCGAAGTCAAGGGTTTTTTTTTTTTTATGAAAAGTATTACTAATGACTACATGAATAATACAGTAGAGAGAAAAATTACTGATGCAAGAGAAAAAAGAAATAATTGCTGAAGCCATGCACTCAAGTTGTGGGAGTGACATAAAATATATCCATAGTAAAAAGGAGAGAAGAGACGGAATATCTGAGTTCAGTTGCAGGTGGTTAAGTAAATGTGTGGTGGAAGCAGAAAGACAATGATGACATTTTTTGCTGGCTTCTATTTCCCCAGTGCAACAGAAGAAAGTTCATCAAGATACATATGGAGAGTGAGGGGAGAAGTAGTATGTAAACCATGTGGGAGAATAAATGGAGCAAATATAATAGAAATGAGAGGCAAGGTAAGATTAAATGGCCTCTGAAAACCCTCAACAGTGCTGGCAGCCTGACGATGCTGATTCCTAGATGC